ATCACTATCATCATCAACATAATCATCATCATCACTGTCACTATCATCAGCATCATCATCACTGTCACAATCATCGTCAGCATCACAACTAATAATTGTGACGGCATTGATAAACATCACAATCCGTGGGACGATGTCATAGCATTAATAACAATATTCTTACTACGCGCATTAGCTGTCTGAGTAATAAAAAACATTCATAGATATGAGGTTCATCTACCCTTACCTCCCCCCCTCCCTCCTTGGTATGCCCTTACCCCCTCTCCCCTCCCTACCCCTCTCCATACCCATTTACCCTGTCTTATTTTTGCGCTTTATCTCTCTTTCTCTTTCTCTTCGTATTTCTGTTTTATTTTATTCATGCTACTCTGTTCTCATGGATCTTCATATCTATTTTTCTCTCTCTTTCTCTTTTTCTCTGCCTCATTCATGGTCTCTTTCCCTCTCTCTCTTTCCCACTATATTTTCCTCTATATACCCTTCTCTCTCTCTCTCTCTCTCTCTCTCTCTCTCTCTCTCTTCTCTCCTTCTCCTCTCTCTCCTTCTCCTCTCTCTCTCTCTCTCCTCTCTCTCTCTCTCTCCTCTCCTCTCTCTCTCTCTCCCTCTCTCTCTCTCTCTCTCTCTCTCTCTCTCTTCTCTCTTTCTCTCTTCCTCTCTCCATCTTCCCTCCCTTCTCCTCTCCTCTCCCTCCCTCTCTCCCTCTCCCTCCCTCTCCCTCCCTCTCCCTCTCCCCTCCTCTCTATCTCCCTCTCCCTCCCTCTCCATCCCTCTCCCTCCCTCTCTCCCTCTCTCCCTCTCTCCTCTCCCTCTCCACTTTCTTAATCACGTTTTCATCCTTCTATTCCTCCTTCCCAATGCCATGCAAGAGTCATGCATGATACGACGCCATCACGATCATGAATTCAGCGAGGTAAAGATCTTAAGCATATGTTGGTGATTTGGATATGTTTATGCGAGGAAATTGAATGCTTTTGCCTTTTTTTTAGTTTCGGATGTTTAGGTGTGTTTTCGTAAGTGTGGGTGGGTGTAGGGGAGGAGTGTGGGGGGAGTGAGTGGATGGGTTTGGGTGTGTGGGGGTGGGGGTGTGTGTATGGGGGGGAGAGAGGGGAGAGGGGAGAGAGAAAGAAAGAGAGAGAGAGAGAGAGAGAGATAGAGAGAGAGAGAGAGAGAGAGAGAGAGAGAGAGAGAGAGAGAGAGAGAGAGAGAGAGAGAGAGAGAGAGAGAGAGAGAAGGAGCAAGAGAAAGAGTGTGTGTGCGTGTGTATGTAAGTATCATGTATATGTGTATATTTTAGGAGTGGATATGAATAGACGTTTATGTATGTTAATGAATGCGAGTGTGTGAAACCAGAGGTGAGGGAGGTACTAGTGAGGTAGGGAGGAAGAGGTTGGGAGAGGGAGGGAGGGAGGGAGGAAGGGGCTGGGAGAGGGAGGGAGAGGGAGAGAGAGGGAGGGAGGGAGGGGTTGGGAGAGGGAGGGAGGAAGGGGTTGGGGAGGGAGGGAGAGGGAGGGAGGGAGGAAGGGGAAAGTGGAGGGGGGGGAGGGGGAGGGGCTGTCGTAAAAGTGGGAGAAGGGGGCATTGCCAGCGTGTGGGTGGGTGGGGGGGGGAGGTAAATGTGATAGTGTATATATGTGTATCCACTTGTGTGTGTGTTTCTAGCTATTTTTTTATGCGTAGGGCAAACATGGATGCGCGTTATTATGAGTATGTGTGTCTGTGTACGTGTACGTGCATATGTATCTACGATTTGCATTTATGTACGTAGTCGTATATATTTATATGTACGTATATGTATGTACGTGTTTCGATGCCTGTAAGCGTTTTACGTAACCAGAAACAAATATATTCATATCACACATACGCAAACGCAAACACAGGGAGCAACACACCAGAAACTATCCAGCCAATGAACACAATAACGCCACCACAGGAAATAACCATCACCATAACAATCACCACAGTCACCATACATCTCGAACTCTGAGATACGCTGACAGCACCAATCCAACGCAGTCAGCTCGGGCACCACAATGTAAACAATCATCACAACCAACTTGTCCACCGCCACAGTCATCACAGTCACCACAGCTATAACGATTTATCATTATTACCGTCACCACAAAACTTCGCTGTCCGCTTAAAAATAATGTTCACCACGACCATTATAGTCATCACCACAATCACTACAGTCACCACAATCACCCCCAAACGGCTCATCATTACCACCGCCCACCACAAAAACAGCCACCAAAATCATCACCACCACCACAGTCACCACAACAATCACCACATTAAACATCACAACGGATCACAATCACCATCCACCCACCACAGTCATCACAATCGTCACCACAGTGGCTCACCATCACAACCACAATCACCACAACCACCATAATCACCACAGTCATCACAATCGTCACCACAGTGGCTCACCATCACAACCACAATCACCACAGTCATCACAATCGACACCACAGTGGCTCACCACAACCACCACAATCACCACAGTCATCACAATCGACACCACAGTGACTCACCATCACCACAATCACCACAGTCGCCGTATCAGCGTCACCACAGCGACACACAATCACCGTGAGAAGCCGACGCTACTCCTCATCCTTTAGAATGTAAACACGAGCCGAGGGAAAACGAACGCAAACTTTTAATTATTTCCAGAATTAATTTGTTTTCGAGAAGGAAAGAATAGAATGTGCGTTTTATCTAATTAATGATAATGAGGATAATAATAATGATGATGATAATGATAATGGTAATGGTAATGATAATGATAATAATAATAATAATAAATGTGCGCTTTAATTTTTTTTCGCTCTGAAATAAAACGAAACAAAAACAAAAAATACGAAACAAGAAACAAACAGTATATACATGAAACAAAAACAATGAAACAACAAAATAGAATGTTTGCGTCACGGCCTTGGCTCAAAAATGGTGACAATGACAGAGCAACAATGACAGCAAAAAAACAAAAACAACACACAAATGGACAAAAAAAAGCAAGAAACCAAGCCAATCATTTTCCTCTATATCTGTTTACCATATGTTTCTATTTAAAACATGTATTTCGATAAAAATAACAACCACAATAAAAAACAACGATTATAACAGCAACAATAACGAAATAAGAAATAATCTTTAAAAAAAATTCTTCCCTTCCATAATTTTCTCTCTTTCATTCATTCATTTTTTTCTCCTCTTCCTAATCGTCTACAGTAGCTTGTTCGCGTTGAAGAAAGACACTTCTCTTCAGTCTGATCTCACAGGATGTAAACAAACACCGCCAGATTCACACGTTGGTTGGCTGGTTCTTGTCCCTCTCTCTCTCTCTCTCTCTCTCTCTCTCTCTATCGCTCTTTCCGTTTGCCTGTCCCTGCCTGTCCCTGTGTCTTCCTCTTTTCTATTTTGTTAGCCTTTTTTCTGTCTGTCTGTATTTCTACCTGTTACTCTTTCTCTCTTTCTGTCTTTCTTTCTGTTGGATTGTCTGGCTGTCCCTCTTTCTTTCTGTCTGCCTGTCCCTCTGCCCGCTCTCTCTCTCTCTCTCTCTCTCTCTCTCTCTCTCTCTCTCTCTCTCTCTCTCTCTCTCTCTCTCTCTCTCTCTCTCTCTCTTTCTCTCTCTCTCTCTCTCTCTCTCTCCGTAAGGTTGCCTATCTGTCTGCCCGTCTGCCTTACTCTCACTGCTTCTATCTGCCTGTCCTTCTCTCACCTTCTCTCTCCCTCTCGTTCTTTCTATCTGACTATCCCTCTCTCTCACTCTCTCTTTCTATCTGCATGTCTTCCTGTCCCATTAACTATCTATCTCCCTTTCTGTCTACCTGTCCGTCTGCCTCCCTCTCTCTCTTTCTGTCTTCATTTCTACCTGTCCCTCTCTCTCCTCCTCTCTTTCTCACTTTCTCTCCTTCTATCTCTCTCTCATCAGTCAGTCTCTCTCTCAGCTCATCAGGATTTTTTTTCTAAAACTCCAACCAAATAAATAAGACAAATAGACAATTCAAAAGAATATACACATAAGAAAACGAAACAAAAACAATTGAAACAAGAACCCAAAAAAAAGGGCACAAGAAAGACGGGGCGGAGAGAGAGGGAGCTGTTCCTGACAAGCTGACAGGGTGCAAGGAGATGGTGTTTATGCCAGTTATGCCTCCGGTGTAGTGTGAGGTGACTGCTTGCCGACCGTCCGTCCAGACATGATGTGCTTGCGTGTATGTGCATGGGAGGGAGGGGGAGGGGGGTTAGAGGGGGTGTTGTGGGGTTAGAGGGTGTGTTGGGTGGAAGGTTGGAGGAGGAGGTGGGTGGAAGGTTGGAGGGGGAGGTGGGTGAAGGTTGGAGGAGGAGGTGGGTGGAAGGTTGGAGGAGGAGGTGGGTGGAAGGTTGGAGGAGGAGGTGGGTGGAAGGTTGGAGGGGGAAGTGGGTGGAAGGTTGGAGGAGGAGATGGGTGAAGGTTGGAGGAGGAGGTGGGTGGGGGTTGGAGGGTGAGCAGGGTGGGGGTTGAAGGGGGAGGTAGGTGGGGGGTTGAAGGAGGAGATGGATGGGGGGTTGGAGGGGGAGGTAAGTAGGGGGGTTGGAGGGTGAGGTGGGTTAGAGATGGAGGGGATGGGAAGGTGCATGTGTGTGTGTGCTTCTGTGTGCGTTGGTCTGTCTGTCTGTATGTACCTGTGTGTGTGTATGCGTGTAACATGACTGACTGCCGTTTTTGTGTGTATTGATACCCATGTACGTATGCTTTTGACTGCTTATGTGTTTTCGCTGTAGGAAATTAAGAATATCTCGTTGTATGTGTTGAACGCAGTCCGTTCGGTGATAAATACGTGTTGATGTGTGTGTGTGTGTGTGTGTGTGTGTGTGTGTGTGTGTGTGTGTGTGTGTGTGTGTGTGTGTGTGTGTGTGTGTGTGTGTGTGGGTGTGTGTGTGTGTGTGTGTGTGTGTGTGTGTGTGCGTGCGTGCGTGAGTGTGTGTGTGTGTGCGTGTGTGTGTGTGTGGTGTGGTGTGTGTGTGTGTGTGTTGTGTGTGTGTGGTGTGTGTGTGGTGTGTGTGTGTGTGTGTATGCGTGTGCGTGCGTGCGCCAGTGTGTGTGTGTGTGCGTGCGTGCGTGCGCGAGCGCGTGTGTGTGTGTGTGTGCGCTCGTGTGTGTGTGTGTGCGTGTGTGTGTGTGTGTGTGTGCGTGTGTGCGTGTGTGTGTGTGTGTGTGTGTGTGTGCGTGTGTGTGTGTGTGCGTGCGTGCGTGCGTGCGTGCGTGCGTGCGTGAGTGTGTGTGTGTGTGTGCACAGGTGTTCGTCTCCGTATGGAGTATGTGAACGCGTGTGTTATTGTGTATACTGTATTGTGCACGTGTATTCGTGTACACGTGTGGTATGCGTGCACGTGTATGTGCACATGTAAATGTGTGGCATGTGTGCACGTGTATTCGTGTGCACGTGTGGTATGCGTGCACGTGTATGTGCACATGTAAATGTGTGGCATGTGTGCACGTGTGTGTGTGTGCGTATACTTAGACGAATATCACTTGCATCACTTCCTAGCCTTTAGAATTAAAAAACAAACCACATCCTCTGCCGCTGCCTTTCTGACGCACTGGCAACACTGCGAAGTGATAAACACTCCGAATCTGGTAACAATTATAACATTGGTAATATAAGTAACACAACACGAAGAGAAGTGTAAGAAGTTCCGATCCCATACCACTCTTGTTTTGTGGGATTGATTGCCGATAATCCCACGAAGTTGATGTATCAATTTGGTGTTTGACATCAGCAAAGATCTCAATTCATCCTACTCAGGAAAAAAACGATACGAAAATTAACACAGACGTTTGCTGACGTGTTTGTTTATTCCGCCAGTCAAAGTTAACGTTTCGAACATCATCATTGCCAAAACGGAGTACCATACGCAAAAATATAAAAAAAAGGTATTGTTATCAACGTTGCCACATCGTTACCACACGCATCGTCAGCAAAACACCTCTATCACACCGTCCTCTTGGCTATCATGTCGCTGCCAGTGTTACCATATCCCTCCCGCCTACGCTGCCTTCGCTGATATGAATGTCACTCTCGAGGCGCGTCTGTCAAAGTAGGTCATCACCGCGCGCTGTTTCTGGCAACACTGTAGGCCACCCTCGTTCAAAGATATCAAAATATATAAACACACGCACACGCACACACGCACTGACTGTCGCGCGCACGCACACACGCGCACGTACGAAACCCATACACCTACGCACAGAGACAAACACAAACAAATGGAGAGACAGAGAGAGACAGATTGAAAGCACGAATGAGAATCGAAAGAGAAAGCGATGAAGGGGCGGAGGAGGGGAAGGAGGAGGAGAAGGAGGAGGGGAAGGAGGAGGGGGAGAAAATATCACAAATACCAGACATGTGCTGAGGCGAACCCCACCCGACGTTGATTTAAACGACACTTGCTGTGCGGGTATTGCGTGAAAGGAAGGGGGGAGGGGGTGTGAGGGGAGAGGAGGGGTAAGGGGAGGGGGTATGAGGGGAGAGGAGGGATAAGGGGAGAGGGTATAAGGGGGAGGGGGTATGAGGGGAGAGGATATAAGGGGAGAGGAAGGATAAGGGGAGAGAGTATAAGGTAGCGAGGGTATAAGGGGGTAAAGGGAAAGGGAAGAGGGTAAAGGGTGATGGGACATGGGTAGTGACAAGGATAAGGAGGTAGAGAAGTGGGTAAGGGATAAGGGGGAAAGGGAAGGGGGGGTAATGGATAGATGGGGTAGGGTGAAGGGGTAAGGATAAGGGGAAGGGGATAGAGATAAGGGGAGAGATTCGCCACCGTTTTTTATTGCACTTTAATGTCTCAAAACAACGGAGCGAGAGTATATAAGAAAAGATAGATAGATAGATAGATAGATAAATACATAGACAGGTAGATCAACGAAGAGATAAATAGACAGGTAGAGGGAGAGAGAACGTTTGTTAAAGAGAGAATAAAAAGTAGTGTCACTCTCACGAACGAAGAATAACAGGAGAAAAATCCAACACAATTAAACACAGCGACGACGTAGACAGAGAGAGAGAAAAATAAAACGAAAATAGGAAAAAAATGAGAAAGAAGTAAATATCAGTAGGAAAAGAAAGAAAGTAAACAGACGATCCATAATAACAACAATAATAACAAGCAACAAATCCACCCACATCTTCACCACATTTCCGACCCCCCCCCCACCCTCCCCACCCCCCCTAAAGTTACGGATCACAATAACCCCCCACACCCCCCCTCAAAAAAAAAAATCAGAAAACCAATCTCGAAAACGAACCGCCTACGGACCGAAACCCACAACACAAAATAAACAAAACCAAAACAAACAAACGAATAAACAGCCCACACACACACACCAACACACAAAACACTGCCTTCAGCTCCGTTCCCAGCACACACACGCGTCACGGTGGCACTCTCTGAGAGCCAAAGGGAGTGCAGGGGAGATCGTTCTATCGGGGCACGCGGCGCGGCACTACACCA